GTTAACTATCACATGGAATAGGGGAGGGAGGGGGGGGGTTAGTGTTAGCAGCACACTACTGATGTATCCAATTTTCATTAATACGAAAAAAAAACGTGTCCTCGAGGCAGAGCAGCAACCACAATACCCTGTCGACCATAATGCCGTGTCAGTCTCCCAGACTGAGATAACACAAGAATAAGTAATTTATCCAGTGGTAACCACTAGCACAGTTGCTTGTCACTCATTCCATCAAGACAGTGAGGCAGGATGGCCGCTCCAGCGCACCTAAAACTCAATTTGATTTTCTCTTCAGTTCTTCAATTACTTTGTTTACAAGAGAGGTGCTTGCGTGTAAGCAGCAAAAGGAAAGTGTGTGTGTGTTTTATATGGATTTCCTGTGTCCTCTCCCCTCCCCCGTGTGCATGTGTGTGTGTGTGTGTGTGTGTGTGTGTGTGTGTGTATGCGTGTGTATGTGTGTGTATGCGTGTGTATGTGTGTGTGGTATGCGTGTGTATATGTGTGGTGTGTGTGTTATGCGTGTGTGTATGCGTGTGTGTGTGTGTGTGTGTGTGTGTGTGTGTGTGTGTGTGTGTGTGTGTGTGTGTGTGTGTGTGTGTGTGTGTGTGTGTGTGTGTGTGTGTGCGCGCGCGCGCGCGTGCGTGCGCGTGCGTGTGTATTTGTTTTCCCCCTTTTTAAATTCTTTTCGCAGTGTCGTCTAATGTAACTGGTTCATCCCTTTGCCCTTTATTCTTCTTGCCTTTTCTCTCTGGTTGTCCCCCTTTATCTCCTTTCCTCTGTCCCTGTTCTATTCTCTGCTTTCCTTCCTTTCATTTTTTGTAGCCTTAGCGGCGAGTTTATTGTGCAGGTGGGGCTCATCTGGTGAGCACTGGTGCAAACAAGAGTTACAGAGGTCACAATGGCTCTTTACTACCCACAATGACTTTTTGCCACCTACGAGGCCTGGTCTCAGACCGGGTCCCGGGGGCGTTGACCCCTGAAATCCTCTCCAGGTATACTCCAGGTATAGTCTTATGCTCATTGTATTAATGTTTATATCTATCGGATATTAAAGAGTTGTGTATATTACAATATAATGTAGAACATAATTATATTTCACATATTTAGCCACTTGAGGCCTGTTCTGGGACCGGGTTGCGGGGCGCTGACTCCCGAAGACATTCTTCTCGTGAGAACAGTGATGGAACCATATACACAAATAACCAGTAAATATGAGAGAGAGGAGCTTACGACGACGTTTCGGTCAGACTTGCACCATTTACAAAGACCATTTACAAAGCCTCTTTTTTCTTTATGGAACCATATCTTCGTAAGGGCCATAAATTGTACATGGATACCTGACACACAAGCCCTCTACCCAGTGACGTCCTGCGTGTGAACAAGACAGATGTGTATGGTGTGTAGAAACTCTTGAAGATTCCAGGTAGCCTATTATCAACTGGGTCATTTCACTAATTATAATGACCATCATTAAGTAATTTGTTTTATTTAGCTGGTGCCATTTGTGGATGCAATCTCAGGACATCAGATCTTTATGAACAGCAGCAGGGTGTGGGCGAGTTGCACCTGCCTCGGATGGGTCAGTAGGTGATACTGTGCTCTAGGAGCAGGTACCTGCATGTGGAGATCTGGGTATTTGGACTCACTCACTACTTACAGTCATATAAAATAGCTGAGAGTTGCTCACAGTATATATATTGTTTGTTCCTGAGCATAATACACTAACATGAGGTCAAATCTGATTAAATTTCATTACACAGAGTATATCGACAGTATGTAAAATACACATTAATATAGTTTCGCCCCGCTAAGGACTTTCAAGTCCCTGGTGGACGAAACGTCTTCGCAATAAAATGATATAATCGCACTATCTTGTTTCCATGGGCCGGTAGGTTTGTCCCAGTGCCATCATGTGCTCTGTCTACACACCTGACATTTCATGTGACTGAGATCAATACACAAGATAAACTGATAATTATTTGGTTTAGCAGTAAAAGTCGCTTTCATTTTTTTCCCATTCACAAGTTTAACCTAAATTCGGTGTGACGGAATGATTTAGGTTAAACTTCTATCTTTCTTCATTACTTTTGATAATTCTTCTATAAGTCTTTTTTTTGACAACCAGAATTTTTATTCAGCATGTTGTCTTTAACAGTACTTTAGCCAAATTATCCAATTTGTCATATCCTTGAAGGACTATGTGAGGAGGATGCCACAAAAAAAAAAATGTTATTTGTTGATAACTGGTAAACATCAGAGTTTGGTTACATGAGTTAGCTCGACACATTTACATCCCTGGCTATTTTGAGGAGTATAAAAGGGTAGGCAATCCAGATGTAATTTATCTAACTGTTTTTGGTTGTAGCTTCGGCAAGCTTGGAGTTACACTTGTGCTGGGCAAACACTTTCAATTTCTTATTGTGGAATGTCAGTTATTATCCTAGGTAATCTACATATCAGTTAAACTATGTATGATAATTGTACTCATGTGTACTTGTTCATAATTAAACTTACTTAAAAGAGAAAAAACGTTTTATAATATAAATGGATTATATTACATTATAAATGGATTACAAAACATTATTCGAATTTATAAAGCCATGTGTATAGTGAGTGATGGTGGTGATATTTTCCCAAATTGCCTTTTTTGTATGGCTGTCATTTGAATTAATTTTAATTCACTCGCTCCACTACGTGCAATTTCAAACACTTCTGTAAGAGAGAGTACTGACCTGATCACCAGTCCGTACCTTCGTTCTTATGTGCGAGATGTCTCAGCAAGATCACAATGGAGCTCATCTTATTGTATCTTGACTAAGATAAGGTTTGTCAGGAAACTGGACAAGTGTTTCCTGATGCGGGTCTTAGTCATATGATGACCCGCCACTAGAGCTTCTGGTCATCTGACCGAGGCCTTCCGCTGGCTTTACTAAGATACAACAGGATGCATTTCCTTTCATTCTCCAGGCGCTGCATGACCCACACGGGTTCATTGCTTCCCTCGTATTGTGCTTCCTTAGGCAGGTGAAACCCAGGTGTCCATCACTGTAAGACAGACTGCTGTCTGTCTAGTGTCTAGAAGAGTCATATGTCCGGTATCCTGCATATCACAGACACGACGCCCCGTGTCCAATACATCACAGACACGACGCCCTATATATACTCGTTTCTGAATTATCTCTGTATTAGCGCTGAAGAAGTCACTCGTGGCGAAATGTTTCCTATAATAAATGTCCTAAACTGTACATAAGTGAATTTTTCTACATCACAGACGTGACGCCCCGTGTGCAAGACATCACAAACGTGACGCTCCGTGTCCATCACAGACGTGACGCTCCGTGTGCAAGATATCACAACGACACCGCCAGGCATCGCTTATGGAGTTAGTCTAATCAAAACATGTGTGGCGTAGACCCACGATCACCAAACACGATAACGAGCTCAAAATAAACCCAAATTGTCATAATGCGAGGTAATAAACCCGCACCGGAGGGCTCATTATATTTGCTCACTAACACGCAACTGTGGTCGTAAGAGCGATAACGCACTTTACTTGCGTTTACAGTGACAAACAACGCGATCTAGCCAGTGAACTACAGAAACTTGCAGTGCTGTTGAAATACGCAAAAACGGACTAATTTTGAGACAGACTTGGGAAAGAGACCTAGAGAGAGGAAGGTAGGGTTTTAAGCTTATCGACTGGACGAGGGTCATCAAGGCTCTATATAACTTGTACACTACCAGTCAGGTGCACCTCAATTATACAATAGAGATTTAAGTCAATACTCGGTGGATATGCACAAGATACGCACCTCTCTGAATATATATATACACAGAGATATATAACTCGCTGTAAATATACAGACATACATAACTGTATATAAACACATACCTCTCGTATATACATAGATACATACCTCTCGGTGTTTTACGCACACCTTTGGGTAAATACACGCAATATACACAATTCTCGGTGTACAGATTTTATAATTATATATATATATATATATATATATATATATATATATATATATATATATATATATATATGCACTGATATATAAACACTGGTGCATATACACTTCGCCAAGGAGTGCAGTCTGCGTAGAGTTTTAATTGTAAAACATTCGCCTCACTTTTTATATAATTGTTTACCTATTGATTTCAGGATGAGTTACGGGGCTTAGAGTTTTAGTGTCCCCCGACCCTTAAGTTGCCCTTACACACTGACTCCAGTGTCAGAGTTGTACACCACACTGACTCCAGTGTCAAGGTTGTACACCACACTGACTCCAGTGTCAGGGTTGTACACCACACTGACGACAGTGTCAAGGTTGTACACCACACTGACTCCAGTGTCAAGGTTGTACACCACACTGACTCCAGTGTCAGGGTTGTACACCACACTGACGACAGTGTCAAGGTTGTACACCACACTGACGACAGTGTCAAGGTTGTACACCACACTGACTCCAGTGTCAGAGTTGTACACCACACTGACTCCAGTGTCCGCATAGAACACGAAACTAACGGGAGTGTGAACATAGTCCAAGACAATGATATCAGGCAGTGTGAACATTGTACAAGATAATGACGAGCATATTTCACCACATTGACGAGTGTGACCGTATTATATGAAACCTTAATAATTAGGGCAACCATCGAGCAGAGGAAGATATAACATCGAGGTGAAGGATGACGGGCAGCTGCCAGTGGATTTACAATCTCAGTACTTTTTAGAATCAATTTGGCTGCAACTGCAAAATCTATAAGACAAAGATGGTAAGCTTAACCTGCACAGTTTAACACACTCATATTCTTGTAAGACTTCCTGGAACCACTGCATAATTTTTTTTTACTCTGTTTAATATATTAAAATTAACTGTTAATCCGCTATTTGTACGTCTTTTCGATTCGTTCTGAACCATTATCAAGTCGCAGGATATTACTAAATTGTATCAAAGTAATGAGACATTAACTGGTAAAAGTTCTTTTCTCACCTTAGCTTGAACAATGAAGACGAGGAATCTCCGAGATGATGGTGACAAATGTAAGTGACACACACAGATGCCCAGCACACATGTCACTGCAGAGGTTTTACAGGTGCCTCTGGGCCCTCCACCTGCACACCTTGACTCAAATTTGCAGGTGAGGCGGTGCAGTAGGCCTAGCTTGTAGGCGCTTCACCCGCTGAAAACCCCCCACCTACACACTGCCAATTCCTCGCTCACACTCAACCACAAACAAGATATTAGTTTGGCTCTTTCTCATCATTAAGTGCACAGGCCTCTTAATTACACTTGTAGTTTAACATAATTGGTTTAGATTTCATCCTGTAAAGAACTCCAGCAACAATCTTCTTGCACGCGTCTCCCAGAGTTACTTCTCCGTGAGAGAGCCAAGACCAGACTAACCAGAGACTCAGGTAGGGAGGTGGGATGAGGTCTGGTCTGGCAGGGAGTGAGACAATATACGTCCAACCCAGGCCGCGGTCACAGGCACACTGAGGTGGGGGGGCGGGGCTCGTGGCGGGGCGGGCCGCAGGCGGCGGCGGCGGCGACGGTGGAGGCGACGACGGGCACACCACCATCACTCTTCTACTACTACAACTACTGTTTCCCCATCACCCCCACCACAACAGCTGCTACCTAATACTGCTGCTGTGGTTGCTTCCCCCCCCTCACCCACACCATCGCTACTAATACTACTACTACTGTCTCCCCTCCACCACCACCACTACTACTGCTGCTGCTGCTGTTGTTGTTGTTGTTGCTGTGTCCCCGCCACCATCACTGACTGATACTACCGTCTCTCCACCACCACCACCATTTCTACGGTTGTTGCTGTATCCCCACCACCATTGCTACTATTACTACTATTCTTCCCTACCACCACTATCGTAATATTGCTACTACTACTACTACCATCTTCATACTACAACCACTACTGTTACTTGCCTACTTCTACTACTACAGTCGCCTGCCTCACCCTCTCCTGCCCTCCAACAACTCATTCACCCTAAATTTAATGCATGTGTTAGTTGCCATTCTTAAAGGCAGTTGTCGATAAACACTTAGGTTTTGTGTGCGCGCGTTAGCTTACAGCCAAGGCCTTCGCATTTTTTGTTTTTCTAGCGAATCTGAAAACATTTTCCAACAATTTTATCATTTTTGGAGAGGGTTTTAAAATATGATTGACATGAGCCCGGTAAATTTGTATATATATATATATATATATATATATATATATATATATATATATATATATATATATATATATATATATGCAAGGAATTCGCAAGAGCAGGCGAAATATACACAAACACTGATCTCTGGCTGAAGGAGACTCGAACCTACGAACCTTGGAACAAGGTACGCAGTGCTTTACCAATCTACCCACACTGGACCAATACCTTGGAGTCCAGCTTGCGCTAGACTTTGATCCAAGGCAGCCAGCTTGGATTGGTAAAGCACTGCGTACCTTGTTCCAAGGTTCGTAGGTTCGAGTCTCCTTCAGCCAGAGATCAGCGTTTATGTATATATATATATATATATATATATATATATATATATATATATATATATATATATATATATATATATATATATAATATATATATATATGTGTGTGTGTGTGTGTGTGTGTGTGTGTGTGTGTCGTACCGAATATGTAAAACTGGTCAATTAGCAAGAACTCATTTAAAATTAAGTCCTCTCTGAAATTTTCTCTTATACGTTTAAAGATATATTTTTTTCATTAATGTTAATGTAAAAATTTATAATTTTGCTCCAAAAGAATCTTAGAAAACTTACCTAACCTTATTATAACAAGAACAATTTATTTTAGGCTAGCCGAACTTAATATATTTTAGATTTGTTTACAATAATTTAATACTAAACAAACACAGTGAAATATATTTTTTTCGTTAGGTTCAGAATGATTTTTGCGAAATTATTCCATACACAAATTTTCGCTTGTTCTATATGGCAAGATGAGCGTTGCTATTTAAGCCAAGATCGCAAGTTCTGCCTATTCGGCACGACATATATATATATATATATATATATATATATATATATATTAATATAATATATATATATATATATATATATATATATATATATATATTATATATATAATATATATATATATATATATATATTATATATAATATATATATATTATATATATAATATATATATATATATATATATATATATATATATATATATATTATATATAAAATTAATGTATATAATGTATATATGTGGATATATGTATGTACATCCATTTACTTGTATTCTATTGTGATACTGTCAAATTTCATTTTCCCCGTGTGAGGAATGATCCATAATTGGAAATGAAATGTCCCTCGTGATAGTAACCCCAGTTCTTCTAGGAGAAAATCTCTGAAGCTGTCAGAGCTACTCAGCTCATCGTGGAATCCTTGACGATATCCTCACAGCCGTGCTGAAGTCCCCCAGCACAGGCTGACAGATTTCATTACCTATTACATACAACCCATCCCGTGTGATGGAATATAACAGGGAAACACAGCTAGCTTTGCTTATCACAATGTAACTCTCATATAGAATAGGGAAGCAGCACACTGCGGGTGTATCCAAGTCTTCCCCGTAAATTCTTGAACTTAAAGTGCACATGACATGATAATAATAATAATAATAATAATAATAATAATAATAATAATAATAATAATAAAACCTAAACCCGTAGGAGACATCCAGGGCTTGGGATAATGGAGATTAATTCAACACATGAGTGGGTAGGATATTTTCAGTTTCTTTGGAATTACAGATACAGTATATACCTGTCAGTGCCAAGGACATGCGCAATCTCTCAATATATATATATATATATATATATATATATATATATATATATATATATATATAATATATATATATATATATATATACATATATATATATATATATATATACATACATACCGAGAGGAGTGTATCTCGTGTATATATCTGTTTATATACACAGAGTATACTTCATACATTAGTCGGTATTCAAGTATTTTTGATTGGTGGTTTACAGGTGATATGAAGCCTTCATGACCCTCATGCAGTCGATAAGCTTCAAACCACTTGATGATGCTACCCACCTCAGCCCCTCAAGGAAGGTTCCTTGACGCTGGTGAGGGGCTCTTGATCTAGGGAATTGGATCTGTGCTCCAGTTCCCTGAATTGAGCCTGAATACCTTCCATCTCTGCCCCCCAGGGGCTGTATAATCCTATATGGGTTCAGCGTTCCCCCGTGATTATAATAATACCCACCTCAGAAGCATGATAGTACTATCCACCTCAGCAGCATGATAGTACTATCCACCTCAGCAGCATGATAGTACTATCCACCTCAGCAGCATGATAGTACTATCCACCTCAGCAGCATGATAGTACTATCCACCTCAGCAGCATGATAGTACTATCCACCTCAGCAGCATGATAGTACTATCCACCTCAGCAGCATGATAGTACTATCCACCTCAGCAGCATGATAGTACTATCCACCTCAGAAGCATGATAGTACTATCCACCTCAGCTGCATGATAGTACTATCCACCTCAGAAGCATGATAGTACTATCCACCTCAGCTGCATGATAGTACTATCCACCTCAGAAGCATGATAGTACTATCCACCTCAGCTGCATGATAGTACTATCCACCTCAGCAGCATGATAGTACTATCCACCTCAGCAGCATGATAGTACTATCCACCTCAGAAGCATGATGGTGCTACCCACCTGAGCAGCATGATGGTGCTACCCACCTGAGCAGCATGATGGTGCTACCCACCTGAGCAGCATGATGGTGCTACCCACCTGAGCAGCATGATGGTGCTACCCACCTGAGCAGCATGATGGTGCCACCCATCTCAGCAGCATGATAATGCAACCTCCCTCAGCAGCATGATAGTGCTACCCACCTGAGCAGCATGATAATGCTGCCCACCTCAGCAGCATGATGGTGCTACGAACCTCAGCAGCATGATAATGCAACCTCCCTCAGCAGCATGATGGTGCTACGAACCTCAGCAGCATGATAATGCAACCTCCCTCAGCAGCATGATAGTACTACCTTCCTCAGCAGCATGACAATGCTACCCCACCTGAGCAGCAGGATGGTGCTACCCACTTGAGTAGCAGGTGCAGGGGGGGGCAAGCGTACCCAGTAAGGTCAGAGAGATGCCCGGGCAGCACTGGGCATCTTTGTCCCGTACCTGTTTGTTCGCCTATAAATACACTGGCTCCCTCTACCTATCGTATTAGTGTAACTTTGTGTATTATCCTATCCATTCTTCTGGTTATAGATAGCTATTAAATACAGTCATTATAATACACTCTGTAGTGGAGCAAGTGTGTTAAACTGTTTTCTTCTTCAGGATCCGTGTAGTTTACTTCGAGGTTCACGCCACCCGATTACTGCACGAGTAGGGATGTGAAGTGACGAGTTATGTTAGTTCGCTGATATCTGATGTCCTCTGACGTCATTGTTGTTGGTGTTCAGGGTGCTGGACACCTACAATGGCCTTCAAGTCTGGACGTAACATTGCGGAAAAAATGAATATAAAATACGTAGAAATTCGCTAATTGAGGAGCTCTCTTGGAGAGTCAGTATTAATGACATAAGATATGCCGATAGTGTCTAGTTATGAGCAGCAGTCTCGACAGAATGATGAGTTTCATAGCTAGAAATTTAGATTATAAAAACCAGAAGCAATACTCACACAATGACATGTTTGTCAGACTTCAAACCGCATGGAAGACAATGCTCAAATGTAGTGTGTAGAGAGGATCAACAAAGTTCATATCTTCAGTGTCATAATATTGGTATACAAAACCGACGGCCCTCCAACCAGTGACTATCACTCCACAAGAGAGAATAACTGTTGGAGACTGGATTATCAGTCCTTCAGTTTTGATAGTAGTCGTAAGTTTTAAGTATAGTTTCAAGTGTTACAATTCAGATTGTAAACACACTGGCTAATCATTTTCTGATACACGATGCAACTAAATACAAAATAGTGACTATGCAGATACAGACATCAATTCAGGAACCATTTTATGACATCCAGTTGACACTTGGCCTCACAACTACTTCAGATTTTGAATGCTTAAGAAGCCTTCATTGGTCCCCCTTTTCAATGTCTTTACAAGAGTAATTTTTTTTTTGTTATTACGAAGGCAGGCTGGGCCTCCCAGGGCACATTTTCAGACTAGTAAGTAGCAGTAGTCACAGATATAGTATGAGTTACCTTATACTATTCCTTTTACCTTTCCTCACATGTTTTTACATACAGGTTTATATTTCACATCGCCTTTCCCGTTTACTCTGATTTCTTCGCTCTAAAAGCACCAACAGTCTCACTGGTCACAGATCAGGTTGCAGTTGGTGAACAGAGATATGAGTATCCACAACTCTTTGGGCACCACCCTTGGTGCACCATGTAGTGCACTTCCTGTGCACTCCATACTCATCTCATGTGTGCT